GGTGTAAATGAAAAATGATGAATTTCTGAAGTGTGAGAGAAAGACTATACTTTCAGGGATCATTTCTATAGTTTGAAGTGTGAAAGAGTGGTAAGAAAAGGCTTTATGAGGAGGTAGCCCTCATTCAGGGCTTTGAAAACCTAAACATTCCATTCATACACATATTGTTTGCCTATCCTTCAAGAGAGATTGTATCTTTATCCAATTAAAGCCTAGTGTAAACCATAGAATACTGTAAGTGGAATAAAGGAACAGTAATGCTAATAAGTATTCATGAGGTTATTAAAACTTGTTCCAACTTCAATCAATGATTACTACATGATATTAGCATAATTCTGAAATAAAGTTTGATGAGCTGTGTTTAAACAGATGAATGTGTGCAGGTCTGACAAGAGGGAAAGTTTCTCCAAAAATGAGCTTTGCCTGGCAAGGAAATGAGGAAGCAAGATGTGTAACTATAGCTTAACAGAAAAGTTTGTAGCTGGAGCAAAGCATTTCCCACAGAAATGGTGGAAGATGAAACTGCAAAGTAGTCATAGAGGACCATATCTGGTGGTGCTTTTCATGGTTATCTGTGAGATTTGCTTGTAAGGAAGTTTGGCATATGATCTGTCGAGCAGCTATGTATAGACTGGGTTGTGATGGGTCCTAGAAATTGGTGGGGTTGGATGGGAAAGAAGGAAGAACAGTTGGGAGGCTGATGAGAGACAACAGGACTGACTGAGATGGGGGAGAGTGGAGGGCCCAGGGAGGGGTAGATTTCAGCCCAGGATGTGGAAACTGATTGGAAATAGAGGAACAATGGAGAGAGAAGGAAGGAAACTAGTACTGATTGAATACCTATTTTTTAGGTCAACATGAAAGATATTTTTGAGCCTGAGAAGTGAAACACCAGTGGGGGTCCAGTGGAGAGAACTAGAAGAGAATGACTGAATTTGAGAGATATGTCAGGGAGTTACCTAAGCAGAGATGATCCATTAGAGCTGTAGGAGTTGTTAAGACTGTCAAGAGGGATGATGTTAGACTAGGGATAAACTTGGGAACCACTGGGAGAAATGACAGAGCCTTAGCCTCTCCAAAGTCCCTGACATGAGGTTCCTCCTTGGTTTGGCCCAGTTCTCAAGGAGAGAGGTGATACCTTGTTATGAGCAGTTGGAGTGGGAAGCAGCTGAAGCACTACAGAAGTCAAAATAAGTTGAGGTTTTGATGAAGGGCTAGTCAATGGCATCCTTCTCATGAATCCTCATTAGTGTTACTGTTCCTTATTTATTCCATTTACAGTATTCTATGGTTTACACTAGGCTTTAATTAGGTGAAGATACTGTCTCTCTTGAAGGGCCAGGAAAATTGAGGATTCAGAAAAGTCAGTGGGCATAGCAATAGGGAGATCCCTGGTGACCACAGAGAGGGCAGAGTCTGTGAGATGCTGGGGGAAGAAACCATATTTCAGTGGCTCTTTCACATCTGTTTCAAATAACCAACTTGATAGTAAACTTAGTGCACAGTTCAACACAACATATTCATACTAAACATGAAGCTTAATTTGCTTTATCCTCTGTGTAACTCTTTAAAATGTTTTGGCATCTGTTCTTCCCTTTGATCTATGAAGCAGTCGCATAAACAGGTTTTCATCCTTCTTCTGAGTGGTTCCCAAATCCAGTCTTCCCAGAAGACTAGGACTATTAAATTACATTGTCTTGGATTGTTTCATGTTCTTCTTGACTCTTCTATTCTAGATTGGATAGAGTTAAAAACATACTGATACACTGCATTTTTCTGGTTTGGCTTGGTTCCTAAAGACTTCCAAGCTCCATTCCCATTGGGAGCTGAAGACTGAATGTAAGAGAAACAATGACAGCTCTGGAGAGGATTTGCGTATTGGGCTCTGAATTCTATTTTAGGGTGCTGTACTTCTCTTTGCCCAGCCAACATTACTACTGACCTGGCTAATACTTCATGTCCTCCCCTGCTTGTCCCTCCCTGGAAATGTTGTTTGAGCATATTCCCAAAGCCAATCTTGTTGTTTTAGTTCCTGGATCCCTATCATAATTTATCCCCTCAATGTGATAAGGCTGAGTGATTGACAAATTTGCAACAGACACCTTTAGGAAACAGTCTATGGAAGCTTTATATCTTGTTCTTATAATTAGTTCTAACTAGGGCTGGCCCAGCAGGATAGGCTAGTGTTGGCATAAAACAGTGTTTTTGCTTTTTAAATCCTCCAGTGGGTCACTCTTCATCTCTTTCAGGCAATCATCCGTATCTTGGTCTGTGTGTGCCCAGTGACAGCACTCCTGGCCTCCCCTTGCCATTTGTCTACATTAAAATAGAATAAATCCATAAGTGGCCCAATATGTTACTTTGCATTTTCCAAAGAATGCAAAATACATTTCTCATGGTGAGAATTTTAAGTTCTAGTACCTGGCCATCAAAGAAGACAGTTTTCAAAAAGAATGGGGAGACTTCCTAATACCTTTAAAGTTCTGCCATGGGGAGGATAGTCTTGGTAGATCTGCCCTGATTCCACTCTGTGGTTAAGTGTCACTTGATAAGTTTGCATGTGATCTCTCCCACAGAAATAGCCTTGGCTTCCATAATAAATAGTATCTTTAAAACTCAACTGCAATTTTCTCACATCTGGTGACCAGAAGCCTTACCACGGCGTCTGCCACAATTACATGGGCAGGTATAATAAAATCTTTTTGTTTGTTAGGATTTGATTTGCTCATCATGTTTATTGAAGGGTCATTGACTAGAGACAATGGCATTGCTTATGTAAAGGTAAGGATTCACAGCCCACAGTAAGTGGAATAAATAAAAAGCAACTGCCTTCTGTAATTCCTGGGAAATGACTTGAAACTTGGCTCTTTTCTCAATAAATCCAAATCCTCTCAGTTATTTTAATCTAATGACCATGCAGCTATGCAACAATCATGATTATTTCTACTCCAGAAGTGGGAGTAGTAATGTTTTCTAAACTCTGACCACTTTTGAAGATACAAGGATACTTACCTCTGGATCATTTTGCTCTGAGGTGGAAGCTGCTGCAATGGTTTAGGGATCCCCATGGGCATTTTTGCCAATCTACAACATAACGTTCCTTTCTTATTCTTTAAAAAACTACCATTGTCTAGATTTTTCCCTTTTGAAATTTGGGGCATAGAAGGGGGGGCGGAAACAGAAAAGCTAATTAATCTATCTATTTGCTTTATGTTATTTGATCTGATCCAATAGGGCTTCAGTTTGGTATAATTTTAAATCAGCACACCCATTCCATATCTCTAAAGGTAGAAATTCAGGCAGAAGGGGCAAAGAGTTGTGGATTGTGAATGTGGTTAAGGATGGCAGTGCCTTCAAAGAATTACATTCTGGGAGATCACACATTAGCTCCAAATCTGCTATATTTTATGGATTCATATTTGAGGCTCCACATTGGAAATGACTTTCAGAATCACCCAAGAAAATATACATTATTATTTTATAGTCACAATGTGTTTCTGACCCATTAAAGATGCTACTTTGGTTGTTTAACCCACTCACTAGGCTTGGTTCCAAATGATATCTGGCTGATTTCAAAAATAAACACACCTTCAGAAGATGAAGATTTGCTTTCAATGTGGATAACCAAAAAAAAAAAAGTGTCCCAGACTGTGAGGCCAACTTTGTAGAAGGGGTGATCTGAGTGGTGGGTATACAGGAGGAATTAGTAAGTAGCTTCCAAAAGGAACTGCTTTAAGGAGTATCTGTCCTGTTTTGAGCAGTGATAGATTAAACATAAAATCCTCATAGTTTGTATCTTCATCTGGAATAGCACAAGGGCAGAACATTTGTTTGCCAAGATGTATTGATGATCACAAGATGCTATTAAACATGTTGTGATGTGGTGTTTTTTCAGGATTACATCCTTTGGAGAACTGGGCTCAGATGTTTCTACATCAAATCAGGGGTTTCCTTTTTTCAAGCTTTTAGCAAGTATTATACGTACTCAGTAGACTTCCTTCCATTAGAATAGAAATTACCTTGGATAAAGAACAGGCTTTTGTTTCCTGGCCCACTCTAATTTAGGAGGGGATACTGTCTAGTAGTGATTGAGCTTCATTGAACTCAATCTATGTATGCACTATCACATCTCAGTGTGAGGAGGTTGGAAGACAGTTGGTGTGATGGAGAGAGCATGGCTGTTGGAATCAGAGAGATTTGGGTTTGAATGCTGGATTACCACATAGGAGCTCTGGGACCACAGGCAGCCTCTCAGAGACTTGGTGTTCTCATCTACAAACCCTATAGGGGGTTTCTGTGCTTTGAACAGTGGGTGCTCAATGATCAGCCATTCTGATAGCATTCATGTTGTGTGTAAGCACACAGTACAGTCTTCATGCAGGGTGGGTTCTCCCAAGTTGTTAGTTTCCTTAATTTTCTATGAACATTGAGTAAGAGTAGAAATGGAGCCTGGTGTGGGCAGGGAGGCTTCCAACAGCCCTGTAAGGAGAGAGGAGAATTGCCTCCATCTTGCTTGGATGGAAGGGCAAAAGGCTGTTGAACAGAATGGCCTCGTGGGTTGCTCTGATCTCAGCTTCCAGGATTCTCTATCAAACAGTCTAGTCTCTGGGTAGGCTCTCTTAAATGGCTTTTCTCACAGAATCCTCACTGAACAGGAGTTGGGTAAGACACAGATGTTTCTTCCTTTAGGAGAAAGAGGCATAGACATGCCCCTCTCTGGGGGGCAGGGTACAGCTGTCACTCTAACTCAACACCCTGTGAACAATCGATGCTGTTGGCAAGGTAATGGGTTGGTCACTTTGAAGGTCTTACTTAACTAACCAGCATAATTGGTGAGGAGTCCTGACTTAGCAGGAAGCCAGAATAAAGCATTTTATGAGGTAAAGGACTCGCGTGAGGTGGCTAAATAACAAATGGGAAAATTGGAAAATACGGTAAAAGGGGGTAATACTGCATGTGGTCACCACACCCACTGCTGACAGAATATAAAGCCCTGAAAAGGACCAGGGCTTACACCAGAGAGAGGAATCAGCCTTTGAAACTGCCCTTCAGAGCTCCACTCCCTCCAGCACCATGCCTTACAACTGCTGCCTGCCCAACCTGAGCTGCCGCTCCACCTGCTCCTCCCGGCCCTGCGTGCCCCCCAGCTGCCACACCTGCACCCTGCCTGGAGCCTGCAACATCCCCGCCAATGTGGGCAACTGTGGCTGGTTCTGCGAGGGCTCCTTCAATGGCAGCGAGAAGGAGACCATGCAGTTCCTGAACGACCGCCTGGCCAGCTACCTGGAGAAGGTGCGTCAGCTGGAGCGGGAGAACGCGGAGCTGGAGAGCCGCATCCGGGAGTGGTGCCAGCAGCAGGTGCCTTTCGTGTGCCCCAGCTACCAGTCCTACTTCCGGACCATTGAGGAGCTCCAGCAGAAGGTGAGGGGGTGGGCACCACATTGCCGATTTAGTTAAGTATTTATTTAAATGAAACATACCCACTTCTGAATGGATCTAAGACTATTCAAAGCTGTGATAATAAAGACGCCGACTTCATTGGCTTAGGTAGGACACATCAAATCATCTTAGAGAATCTATTTGGAAAACCCTACAGGGAAGGCTATGGACTGGGGCAGGATAAGACATTAGACTATGATCAGTCATAGCAATCCTACATTGCTTCTTACCTAAAAACAGAGTAACTAATTTTTTAGTTCTATTATGATATCTTGGTCTTGGTTTTAGGCCTAAAGCCTTAAAAAATATGCCCCTGAATTATTTCTTGGAGCTAGGAATTTCCTAAGTAGATCCTCAAATATTTAAAGAGCAAGAGACTGTGTCCATAGAAAAGCAAAAGAGCTATTGACCCCATAAGCCTCACTAATATACACAGACCCTGTACCATCCATTAGAACAAGTATGCAGGTGAGAATTTAAGGCCAGAAATGCAAGCATAGAGGTGGAGATAAGGAAAGAGTCAAAACAGAGGTGGGACTTGATACGTGGTATAGATTAGGGAAGACTTCCCAGAAGAGGAATATCTGAGCAGGGCTTGATGGATGAGGAGGGGTTTATATTCAATGGCACAAACCTTTGATTCTCCAAGGAGATTACCTGCCCACTGCTCAGTAGTGCTGGCAAAGTGAATGCCAGAAAGGGACATGGAATTTGAGGAGCATGCATTCATTTGTCCTCATTTACTGAATACAAGGCACAGTGCTTGAGTGAGAGATAAAGTGTAGAGTAAGGCAGTCTCTTTCCTTCAGGAGCTCACAGTCTAATAGGGGAGACAGACATGGAACACATGGCTAGAGTGAAGGGGAGAAGCATAACTGGCTAAGTGCAAAGTACTGTGGGGGCGCGTGGAGGAAGTGACCCCCTGCAGGAGGAGCTAGGGGCTGGAGGGGGAATGTGGGTCATGGAATGGTCTTGTTAGGTGTGTGAGGACATCTTAGGGCATTCCAGATAGAGGGAGAAGCTCCGTGCAAAAGAATGGACAAGGGTAATATGAGGGAGAGTGGAAAGAGGTCAACAGGACTGGAATAAGGGGGTGTGAGGGTAGGAAAACCAACCTGTCCTCGTTTGGCTGGGATTTTTCTGGGTTTAGCATCTCAGGAAACGGGGACACAGGTCACTTTAAGGGAGGCCCAATACCCAGTATGCTCAATTTCTGCAGGAAGCCAGAGGCAGATCATGGGGAGAAGAATTCATGACAAAGGACACATTTTCCTGATTGTTTTAGTTTTGAAATGAACAGTGCTTTTAATGAATTCTCCTTTTGTCCCCAAACTGAACATCTGAGAAAACTCAAAGCTATTTGGAAAGAATGTGTGTTTGAAAAAAATGGCTTTTCATTATAAAGCAGAAGGCATTCCTTCTTAATAGAATTCATTTTATAATGAATCCTGTCCGCAGATCCTGTGCAGCAAGTCTGAGAACGCCAGGCTGGTGGTGCAGATCGATAATGCCAAACTGGCTGCAGATGACTTCAGGACCAAGTAAGATTTTTTCTAATGATCAGAGCAATTTAGTAATGGACAGGCTGGATTACAACACGATGAACTCTGTCCTGGGCACGTGCAAGCAGCAGTTGTCTGGGATGGCATTGGGAAGATTTCTTGCATTAGGTTATTTGGGTTAAAAGTCAGTTTCCTCACTGAATGCATGAGTGCTGCATTTTAAACTTCTTTTTAAGGAGTGAAAGAAATCACCCATTCTTTCTCTTTTTTCAACTTAACATGTAGACCAAGTTTAAAAGTGAATTTAACACCTGTTTCTTTTTTTAAAAGATTTTATTTATTTATTCATGAGAGATAGAGATGAGAGAGAGAGAGAGAGAGAGAGAGAGAGAGAGAGAGAGAGAGAGGCAAAGACATGGAAAAGCAGGCTCCATGTAGGGAGCCCGACGTGGGACTCAATCCAGGTTTCCGGGATCACGACCTGAGCCAAAGGCAGACGCTCAACCTCTGAGCCACCCAGGCATCCCAACACCTGTTTCTTAATATAGGTTTGTCACTATAAGCCCATCAGAAAAAAAGTTATTAAATCACAAAAATAGGAGGCAAAATCGATTTCAGAATATCATTTTTTTGTGCAATCATATAATTGCAATCATTTTCTGTGTGCAATCATAAGAATTCTTTGCATTTTTGTGGGACTTTATAGTTTACAACACATTTGTAATTACTATCCTATTTCTTCATCTTCAGATCAGCCCTGTGAAGTGTTAGTTTGGTTTCCATTTTATAAATGAAGGCTCAGAGACATGAAGGAATTTATCCATGGTCATAATTGCAAGGTTGAAGCTAACTGATTTCTACTTCAGTGCTTTTATTACAAGACCAGGTTGCTTTCAAGGTGGCTGGAAAGGATGGTGAGATAATCTATACAACAGGCTTATGAAGTTCACCATCTCACTTAAAGAGGCAAGCCAGGGCTTAGTCCATAGCAGTCTGTGCAAATTCTTAGAACAAATGCAGTCAATATCAGATTAAAACTGTACATAGACCCCCCCCCCCGCCCTCCAAAACCTTCTCTGTGGATCTCAGGGATCTCAGGAAATAGATCCTCTTACTCAGCATGGTGATATTTTTTTTTCCCCTTCCAAAAAGGGAATTTTTTAAAAAAAGTTCAAAAACTTAAAAAATGTAATACATTTGACTAGGCCAGCCTAGTAAAGCCCTGAAAAAGTTTTCTTTTTTCACTCCCTTTGATCTTTTGCTGTGTGTGCAGGTACCAGACAGAGTTGGGCTTGCGGCAGCTGGTAGAGTCGGACATTAATGGCCTGCGCAGGATCTTGGATGAGTTGACTCTGTGCAAGTCCGACCTGGAGGCCCAGGTTGAGTCCCTGAAGGAGGAGTTGCTGAGTCTCAAGCAGAACCATGAGCAGGTGAGGAAGTTCTAGCCCACATCATCTCATATGGAAGTTCTATACCTCCTTTGAGCAGCATAAGGTTGGTCTCTGCTAAGCACCCTAGAACTAACACAACATTTTGCTGCTTGTTCAAAACACACTTGGGGGATTCTGGGGGAATGGGTCATAAGCTTACTTCTCTTACTTAAGAGAATATGGTCAACTGACTTATTTCCACTTGGGGCCAGATATATGGCCAAAAATCCATACAAAGATCTTTAAAATATTTCCTAATGCTTGACAAGATCTATTATCTTGTGTAGGTGCCATATTAAGGACTAAGACTAGAAGGAGACAGCAAACTTCCTCATATTATATGTCACCTAGATACTAGAATTCAGTGGATGGATGGATGGATGGATGGATGGAGGGATGGATGGGAAAAATGAGAGATGAAGGAATTCAAATAGTGGTTGACTCAGACTTCATGGTTGAATGTAATAGTAGGACATCAGATACCCATATCAAAGATTAGATGTTTTGAAGCAAAGGAAACTACCCCAAGTAGACAATATATAAAGGTACACGACCATGAAATAAATGGGAGGAGTTATACCTGGTTTCTCTATATTTAAGTAGCAATAATTATAAACCAGGTACCATGCCAGACTCATTACTGAGCAAAGGGAAAAATCAGAAAGAAATGATAGAATCTTGGAATGGAAAGAGACATTAGCAATTACTTATTCAAGCAGCCTCATCATGAGAAGGAGGAGACACTCAGAAAGGAAGCGTGAATCACACAGAGGTAACTTAGCAGGATTCTGTATCAACTGGGCTTCAACTCATACTTCCTAAGTTCCATTGCAATCTTCTCCCCACCAAACTGGACTCATTCAAAAAGAATTTATTTATAGCCTATTTTTTCCCCCTGTGGGTTCATTCTTCCCCCTTCCTCCCTCAGGAAGTCAACACCCTGCGCTGCCAGATTGGAGACCGCCTCAATGTGGAGGTGGATGCAGCCCCAACTGTGGACCTGAACCGTGTGCTCAATGAGACCAGGAGTCAGTATGAGGCCCTGGTGGAGACCAACCGCAGGGACGTGGAGGAATGGTTCACCACCCAGGTGGGCATCTCAGCACGTGGCCACTCAGGACCCTTGGCCCCTCGGGGCCCTTGAGGCAGGGTCTGACCCTGTCTTCTCCCCTGTGCTATTTCAGACTGAGGAGCTGAACAAGCAGGTGGTGTCCAGCTCGGAGCAGCTGCAGTCCTGCCAGGCAGAGATCATCGAGCTGAGACGCACGGTCAACGCCTTGGAGATCGAGCTCCAGGCCCAGCACAACCTGGTGGGTGTTGTTCAGGGTAATGCCCATGCTCTCCTGAACCCGTGAAGCCTGTGACTTCTCTGAAACCCCATGGAGAAGCCCCCTGGGGAGTGGCTCTGTGACATTCTTTGTCTTCCCCACACAGAGGGACTCCCTGGAGAACACGCTGACAGAGACTGAGGCACGCTACAGCTCTCAGCTGAATCAGGTGCAGTGCATGATCACCAATGTGGAGTCCCAGCTTGCTGAGATCAGGTGTGACCTGGAGCGGCAGAACCAGGAGTACCAGGTGCTGCTGGACGTCAAGGCCCGGCTGGAGTGTGAGATCAACACGTACCGGGGTCTGCTGGAGAGCGAGGACTGCAAGTGAGTAGGGAGCAGGCCACATTCTTGCAAGGCACATGCAGTTTTACTCAAGGACAAAACAGAGTTTGAAGGTCAAGTTTCAGAGGCCAATGTGTCTGCATAGACCAGAGTTTTCTGTTGCAGTGGTGTACCATGGAAGATATTTTTGTCATTACCTGGCTGGAAGGTATTTTCTGTCTCAAAAGATACTCATGAGACCTGATTGTTTTCTCCAAATTATAAGCTTTTGGAGCTGATGGGTAAATAAAACCTACATTCGCGGTTGGCCTGTCATAGCAAAAGGGAAAACAAAATTGTAAAAACCATCACATATATTTGAGTAGTGCTTTAGTATTGATCCTTGTTGGAATCATCTGATAGAGGCAGAATGGGGACAGTATAACTATCTTATAGATGAACATCTATAAAGAAGACAATTTGTTAGCTCATGGAGTACAGTACTTGTCACCTGACAGTATTTTCATGAACACGTTCTGTGTGGTAGGTATTACCAATCCTATCTTGCAGGCAAGAAGGCTGATGCTTAGGCAGGTGAAGTGACTTCCCCATGACTCCAGGCTTATAGAATCAGGGCTGGAATTCCACCTTCGGTCTTTTTTGTTCTTTTCTGCCAACTGTCTCAGAGTTTGATAAAAAGAGCAATCCAAACGAGGCTTTGACTTCCCAAGATGTCAGAGAACAGTTTCTGCTTTTTCTGTCTCCTTGGGTTGAGCTCTTCCCTTTTTAAAATTGTACCTCTCATGCTGACAAGCTATTAATTCTGTGTCCCAGGCTGCCTTGCAACCCCTGTGCCACGACCAACGCATGTGACAAGCCCATCGGACCCTGTGTCACCAATCCCTGTACCCCTTGTGGCCCACGCTCCCGTTGTGGGCCCTGCAACACCTTTGGATGCTAGATATCCTGGGACCAGCAAGAGGATTGCATGAAAACAGAAAGGCCATTGATGGACCAGTCCTGCTTCTCTGACAAGCATCAGCCCCAGAAGCTGCCCCAGGCATCTCCATAAATCATGGTCTGGAAAGAGAGCAAATGCCCAGGTGTGGCCTGGCTCTGAGCCTAGCCCACCAGATCCCCTTTATTCAAGGCTGCTCTCTCTGTTATTCTGTGACCTGATGGTCTGATGGGTCTGGGCTGGGAAGGTGTCATAGGAGGTGTATTGTGGTTCTCTCTGTTGCTTTGACCTTCCTCACAGGTCCCTAAATCCCTTTGTAAATCTAATAAACTTTCCTCTTGCAAAGCAGTGATGGTTCCCATTTGTATTCATTCTTTCCAAAGTGTTTACTCTGTATGTGCTTTTTATAAAGCCACTTGAAAGCACAGAAGGACTGTGTCATTAATCCTCTCCCCAGAGGGCTTCATCACCATTAATTAACATTCATTAGGTGCAGTGAGCCTGGCGTCCGTCTACTTGGGCCAGCCAGGAACCGGTGGGACCACTAAGGTAAGAGGCTTCATCCGAATACGGTGAATATTCATTATGGGAGCTGACTGGTACCACACTATTAACATTTCTAGAAAGTTCCACTTTTTCTTTCTAAGTGCCTGCTAGATAGAAGAGGAACAGGAGATAACATTTACTGAACACCAACTAAATACCAGGAGCTGTAGGACTCATTTTTCTTTCTCTTTCTTTCTTTCTTTCTTTCTTTCTTTCTTTCTTTCTTTCTTTCTTTCTTTCTTTCTTCCTTCCTTCCTTCCTTCCTTCCTTCCTTCCTTCCTTTCTCTTTCTTTCTTTCTTTCTTTCTTTCTTTCTTTCTTTCTTTCTTTCTTTCTTTCTTTTCCTTTCTTTCTCTTTTCTTTTTAAAGATCTTATTTATTTATTTGAGAGAGAGAGAAAGAGTGTGTGCATGAGAGAGAGCATGAACAGTGCGGAAGGCAGAGGGAAAGGGAGAAGCAGACTCCCTGCTTAGCTGGGATCCTGATGTGGGACTCGATCCCAGGACTGTGGAATCATGACTTGAACCGAAGGCAGATGCTTAACCAACTGAACCACCCAGAAGCCTGACTCATTTTCTTTCCTATTCACACAGTAAGGAGCTCAGAGGTCATTTTCTGAGTGTCAGTTATACATGAGGTATGCCTGTGAGGGAATGAACCCCATCCTTAACAAGCTCCTGGATCTTATACAACCTTCAACACTATCACAAGGGGAGAAGATGATGCTTTTAGTACCCCAGACATCTCTAAAACTTGCCTTGGGAAATACTGAGGAATTTTTAACAGTAAAAATGGCATCTCTTATATCTGGATAGTACACAGCAGATTTTTAAAGTGTTTTTATTCTTGTTTGACTTTTTGTAACCAACCACAAGGACTAAATTTGGATTTAGGAACCAGTTCCCTTCCCTACCCCAGAAGTTCTTTAGAATGAAACTAGGATATTAAGTCTCTGTGTCTGCCAGTATTAAAGCAACAGTTATGCTAGTGCCTTGCCCCTGCTGGTACCTAATGATGTCTGGTCATGCTCGATGGCTCCCGCAGCTGTGTGTTCTGTGGCTCGTGCAAGGCCGCTGTCCTATCTTGAGCCAAACTGCTAGTTATGTCTTCTCTCTTGGAGATGAAGCTGGCACTATGTCCCCCTGCTGTGACGAAGGTTGCTCCAATGTTGGTCATAAATCCTTGTCTGAACACACTGTGGTTCTCTTAGCATCTGCTTTGCTATTGCTGATATTTGTGGTGCTGCTGGAGCTCCCTTATCCAGACCTCAGGCACAGCCCTAGAAGATGACAGAGTGACACTTCGTGCTGCCCTCAGAATGTCTCAGGTCCAGTTGGTGTAGTTTGGCCTCTCGCCTTTCCTGCCCAGGAGCCACCTGCATGTGTCATATGAGTACCTTATGCACTCTATGCCATCCACTCTTCCTATGTGCTGGGATCACTGTCTACCCACAGGAACCAGCAGCTGCCTTTATCAGGGCCAGGTGCCTCCCAAACACCCCGTTCTTTGCCTTGCAAATGAGAGTTCCAATTTGTCAGCACAGTAAATATACTTTTTCTTATTGTTCATTGTATAAAGTATCAAATGAAACTTTGCCTCTCTGTTAGACAAGGCTGTGCCAGTGGGACAATTGGGGTCTGGGGGCAGCTGTCCTGAGTCTTGGTCTCTGCCATGGTGCTTTCTTTGGTGAAGAAGAGAAAGGAGTGCCAGGGAAATCACTTTGTCCTAGAACCAGGCCGAACTGATTTCTGAGATGTCTGCGTGGGGTTCAGTGTTACTACTCACCTCGCATAAGGGATAACACACATAGGCTGAAGCCTACTGCCAATGATCTATGATTCACGACTTGGTGTAACAAGGCACTGCTGTTATTTCTTATTTTAAATGACTATGAAATACTTCAAACATATGAAAGTATGAAAAATAATAAGACACCTATAAATCCACAATCCAGTTAAGAGATGCTAACCTTGTGCTATGTCTACACTATTGCTGTGGGGTTTTTTGTTCATTTATTTGGTTGGTTTGGTTTCTGGAAATAAAATGTTAAGAGTTGACGTAAAACCCCACCTTTATCCATCTTCTCTCCCTCTGTCCCCCTATAAGTAATTGCTATTCTGAAGTTGATGGCGTATCATTCACCAGTTAAAACATTTCTAGGGATGCCTGGGTGGCTCAGCGGTTTAGCGCCTCCCTTCAGCTCAGGGTGTGATCCTGGAGTCCCGGGATCGAGTCCCACGTCGGGCTCCCTGCATGGAGCCTGCTTCTCCCTCTGCCTGTGTCTCTGCCTCTCTCTCTGTCTGTCTATCATGAATAAATAAATAAAATCTTTAAAAAAATAAAACATTTCTAAAAATTATACATGCTTGTACCCATGTATAGTGTGTGTTTCAATGTAGCACTTTAAGCTAGAAAATATAAGTGTAATAAATCTTGCCATTAATTTTTTCCATTTAACATTATGTTTCTGAGATTTAACTATGTTAATATGCATTATTCTTGTTTTTTTTATAAATTAATTTTTATTGGTGTTCAATTTACCAACATACAGAATAACACCCAGTGCCCATCCCGTCAAGTGTCCCCCTCCGTGCCCGTCACCCATTCACCCCCACCCCCCGCCCTCCTCCCCTTCCACCACCCCTAGTTCATTTCCCAGAGTTAGAAGTCTTTATGTTCTGTGTCCCTTTCTGATATCTCCCACACATTTCTTCTCCCTTCCCTTATATTCCCCTTCACTATTATTCATGTAATTTATTTTAATTTCTTTGCAGTATTTCATAATGAAAACAGATCTTGTTTCTATTTACTTACTCCACTGCTGAGGGCTAACAATTAGGGTGTTTCTTCCTTTAATCATTATGAACAGTGTTGCAAGAACATACTTGCCGATGTCTCTCTTTAAAAGATTTTATTTATTTATTCATGAGATATACAGAGAGAGAGGCAGAGACATAGGCAGGGGAGAAGAAGTCCTGATGCAGGACTCGATCCCAGGACCCCAGGATCATCCTGAGCTGAAGGCAGACACTCAACCACTGAGCCACCCAAGTGCCCCAAGCAATGTCTCTTTATGTACCTGTGTGAATGAGTCTCTAGAGCAGTGATTCTCAAAGTATGTCCTGGGAACCAGGGAAACTGTTGGAAATGCAAATTCTTCAGTCGTACCCTAGACCTACTAATTCCAAAACTCTGGGGGTGGGCACAGCAAATCTTTTTTGTTGGTGTTGTTTTGTTGTGTTTTACAATTTTGTAAAAAAGTTCTGGGTATATTTCCAAAGTAAATGAAACCACTGCCTCAAAGAGATATCTGCATTCCCATGTTCAATACAGCATTATTCACAGTAGCCATGATATGGAGACAAATGTCTGTTGATATGGATAACTAAATAAGGAAGAGAATATATGTATGATAGAAGGGCAAAAAAAGAAGGCAATCTTTTAAAAACTTATTTTAAATTCAATTAGTTAACATATAGTGTATTATTAATTTTAGACGTGGTGTTCAGTTATTTATCAGTTGCATACAACACCCAGTGCTTTGATGGGATGAGCACTGGGTGTTATGCTATATGTTGGCAAATTGAACTCCAATAAAGAAAAATAAATAAAAAAAACACCCAGTGGTCATTACATCGCATGCCCATCTTAATGCCCATCACCCAGTTAGCCCATCCCCCCACCCAACTCCCTCCAGCAAGCCTCAGTTTGTTTCCTATAGTTAAGTGTCTCTATGGTTTATCCTTCTCTCTGATTTCATCTTATTTTATTTTCCCCTCCCTTCCCCTATTATCCTCTGTTTTGTTTCTTAAATTCCACATATGAAACCATATGATAATCATCCTTCTCTGACTGACTTATTTTGCTCAGCTTAATACCCTTCAGTTCCATCCATGTTGATGTAAATTGGTAGTATTTCACCAAAAAGAAGGCAAACCTGTCATTTGTGACCATGTGGATGAACTTGGAGGATGTTACACTAAGTGAAATAAGCCAGACACAGACAGACAAATATTTTGTGGTCTTTCTATGTTTTAGACATTTTTTTAATTAAAACATTTTTTGAGTATAGTTGACACATATAGTGTTACATTAGTTTCTGTATGTTATCTTATATGTGAAATCTAAAAAAGTTGAATTCAGGGATCCCTGGGTGGTTCAGCAGTTTGGTGCCTGCCTTCAGCCCAGGGTGTGATCCTGGAATACCGGGATCGAGTCCCACATCGGGCTCTCTGCATGGAGTCTGCTTCTCCCTCTGCTTGTGTCTCTGCCTCTCTATCTCTCTGTGTCTCTCATTAAAAAAATTAAAAAGTTGAACTCATAAAAGCAGAGTAGAATGGTAGTTGTCAGGGACTAGAGGGGTGAGGAAGATGGAGCGATGTTGGTCAAAGGGTAAAGTTTCAGTTATAGAGGATGAGTACATTTTGGAGATCTAATGTACAGTATGGTGATAACAGTTAATAATACTGTATTGTATTTTTGGAAATTTCCTAAGAAGATAAATCTTAAATCTCAGCACACATGCACACGCACACACACCCGAAGGTAACCAAGTACAGATTACGGATAAGTAACTTAGCTTGATTGTGGTGATCTTTCCACAATGTATACATATGCATATAAAAGCATCAAGTTGTATACCCAGCATCCTGTTTTCACTTTCAAATTTGAGAAGAACCATCAGACTTAGCAAATACTGCCAATACATGTGGGCATGATGGCATCTTGTTGTTTTAGTTTGTAGTTTTCTTATGCCTAGTGGAATTAAGCATTAAAAAATGTTTTTTTAATTGGTCATTCAGG